GCTGAGCCTCTCCAGCTCTGCCATCTGTGGTGTGACTTCTTGAGCTTGGTTATGATAGAGAAGACGCCACAGAGATTTGCTGACTTCACATGTTTACAGCCTGCTGATGGCAGCAGCACATTTCCCCTCCCTTTGATTTCCCTCTTCTGCACTTTTAAAGGGGTCATATGATGCGATTTCAAGTTTTCCTTTCTCTTTGGAGTGTTACAAGCTGATTGTGCATAGATAAGATCCCTGAAGTTGCAAAGACTAAAGCCTCAAAACCAAAGAGATATACTTTATCAAAGTTAAGACTCTGCCACGCCCCCCTAAAACGGCTCGTTCTAACACGCCCCCACATATCTAGGTCACTATGTGGGAATATTTGCATAATGCCGCCCAAATGTGCACGCAAAGAAAGAAGGCGTGGTTTCAGTAACCGCAGTTAGTGTTGAAGCAGCCATGTCAGGGAGACGCTGTGTGTTTCTAGGCGAAAGCAGAAGCACTTTATTTGGCCTTCCGAAAGTAGATGCATTTAGGAATCTTTAAGATCACTTACAACAGAACAGCAATGCATTTTATGAACGACCGTTTCGTGAACCTAGGAGAGGAGGTAATTCTGACTTTGCTATGACAATCTGGCGCTTCTGAATCAGCTACTGTTTTGTTACTAGTTTAAGTATTTGCTATTGACTGTTCAAATGCGGAGTTTTGCGCATCGTGTGTGTGTGTGTGTGTGCGCGAGCGAGCGAGAGAAAGAGAGAGCGAGAGAGAGAGAGAGAGAGCACGAGAGAGAGCGAGAGAGAGCAAGAGAGAGAGAGAGCGCGAGAGAGGGAGAGAGAGAGAGAAAGAGAGAGCGCAAGAGAGAAAGAGAGAAAGAGAGAGAGAGAGCGCGAGAGAGCGTGAGAGAGAGAGAGAGGGGGTCACATCACAAACACATACCAGCTTCATCACTGTGTCTGTCATGCGACTCTGTTCCCCTTTCGGGCTCTGTCTTTACATTTATTTTGAAAGATGAAGCTCGCGATTATGGTAAGGGGCGTTACATTTCCGACGAGTGCTTGCGGTGTTCGGCCAATCACAATGCACTGGGTCAGCTGGCCAATCAGAGCAGACTGCACTTGTCGGAAGGCGGGACTTTGTAGAAAACGAAGCGTTTGAGAGAGGCGGGGCATAGAGGACCTACAATAATGTACAGTATTTGAAAAATAATGTGTTTTTTGAACATTAAAGCATGTCAACATATTCTGTTACACCAAATACACAAAATAATGATCTTTAAAAAAGCATCATATGACCCCTTTAAGACATTTACTACAATCATATTTGAAAATTGGTATGATTTGCTTGCATTTAGGAAGGTGGTCATCTCTGCTGCCCAGATCTGTACTCAGCAGGGTTCATCTGTCACGGCATATAGTGATTAGCACTGAAACAACCCCAGTGATGTCTTTGAGACTATAGGGAGAAAAAAGCAAGAGTACTTGAAAGAACTTTCTCATTTTTTTTGGATGTAATTCCCACCTGGCCATTCAGTGAAGTCACCACTGACCTGAATCCGTTTCTGTGCACCAGCCTGAATCCCATACATCATCTCAGAGTGTGAAACGTTCGTATCAAAATATCAGCTAGAAATGTCCATCTGTCTGTCTAATATGACTCCTTTGAGATTAGAAAGATATGTATCATCCTTTCTCTCCACCAATGCTCAGTTGCCAGGCAACAATGCCTCGATCCCCATAGCAGGAAGTCAGCTGGAGAGGTTGGGGGATTGATTGTTTGAATGAGATGGCTGACTTCTCCCTCTGCTCACGTACAGGAGTCATTAGGCATCAATTAGAATACTATACTTCCTGTGTAGTAACCACTGGATCAGTGTTAATCCAGCTGAGCATCCATGTATCTCCTTACAGTCAATGATGGCAGCTATACAACTTTATTCAAAGGAGGGATGACGCTGTCCTAAACAATTAATCAACTTCAAATGAGACGAATGGCTCATATAATTACTGCATTTGACCTTGACTATTACATTTTAGCAGCTTTGGCAATGTTACACATTTCTTTCAGTATAATACTTGAGCCACAGTTCATTGCATTAGTCGGAACCGCTCTAGTGTAATGAGTTGTGTGGGATGGTTTCATATGAGCTTGTTTATTTGTTACTGCAGAGTTACCGTAAGTGATGAATCACCTCTAAATGCCCAAAGCTTTATCTGTATGCAGCACAGGCCTAATTAGATTTATTGCAGCCACTCGGATCAGGTCGCATTGTGTCTCAGCATGTGAATAAAAAAAGGGAATTGGTGTTTTATTCGTTTGATTGTTTGTTTTAAATTCTCAATTTGTTGAACGAGTGTGATTTTTAAGTTGTAGTCTTGACTAAGTGTCTCTTAAAACAACTGATGGGCTTTTTGGACACGCTGGTTCTTGAGTACTGGGTCAAAACAGGGCTGGAACAAGTTTATGGATCAAGGAGTTCAATTTAATGAATGTGTTCAGAAGTGTTCATTTATGTTTGGGAGCTTCCATTTTCTCAAAAAAAATGTGTGCTTTTCTTTGCTTGTTACTCGTTGTTGTCAGATACAAAACTAATGTGACAAAACATTTTGTATATTTATGAACCTAGTATCCACTTCAATTAATAATGATTTAATAGCTTTTTCATAAATTCTTTTGAACTAATTTTGTTTTTCAGCTCATCTATGATTTTTTTTGTCTTAAAAGAAATACTTTTATTTAGCAAGGGTACATTAAACTGTACAAGTTTCTATTTATCAGAAAATCTTGAAAAAATGCATTGTGATTTCCACAAAAACAATTAGCAGAACAGCAGTTTTCAATGTTAGGAATAGTTTCTTGAGCTCCAAATAAGCATATTAAAATGATTTCTGAAGGGTCATGTGACACTGGAGATTGGAGTAATGATGCTGAAAACTCAGCTTTGGCATTACAGGAATAACTACATAGAAAAACAGTATTTAAATTGTAATTATATTTTTACAGTATTACTGTGTTACACTTTACTGTATTTTTGATCAAATAAATGCAGCCTTGTGAGCATAAGAGACTTCTTTCAAAAACATTAAAAACACTTCCTGACCGCAAACCTTTGAGTGGTAGTGTATTTAAAGGAAACAAACTATTTATCTATGCTTTGTGTGACGGAATTGATCTGATGCAGAATATAAAACAGTTACCTGAAATTATGAAAACTTATAAAACTCATCTGAGCTTGTGATCTTGTACTCACAGCAGGTTAAATATGGACTGAATACATTTATGAATATTTTCGTAACCGTAAAACCTTTTGTCTTTTGTGATGCATATTTACTTAAATGCATATTGCATATTTAAATTATTTATACAAGTTTAATATGTATTTTAATCTCACATTAGCACAGGTGTTTTTGGGTTAGTTAGAGATAAATGTTATGGCATTGTTTTCATAAAACAGAGAAAGTCAAATCAAAGTTTATGGAGTCAATGTTTGAATTTCAAATCGGAAATACAGCTATTAACTAATGGTAGGTAAAGCTGTGCTATTTTTTGTTTTCCTATGTCTCAAGATTTAGTGGACAGTTAAATTTGATAGTTTCCCGGACTAAGATTTGTTTCATTCTATGCTCTCTCTCATAGACCATAAACATGAACTGGCAACACACCTATGCCATCTGCTATACAAATGTTGTTCACATATTTGAAGTTCCTATGCAGTGACCTCAATCGTATCCTAAGTAAAGCTTCAGTAAAGTAGATTAGGTAAATGTTTGGCAATAGACAATCAGAAGCTGAAAGGCATCTGTGGTGGGGCCTATTTTACAGAGTCCATTGGTAAACTTACAAATAAGCCTTGCAGTAACACTGATTCTGTAGTGTAAAGTGATGATGATAATACGTAAATTGTAACTAAAGTGCAAAAACTGTTAGCTTTTCCACAGCTGGATGCTGTGTTGCTATGTGCCTTTCCCTTGCCTTCAAAAACAGCCTCGGCGAGCCTCAGGCCGATCGTAATTTACCAGGCTCCAGCAGTTTGCTGAGTTTCCAAGCTTGGTTAAGAAGAAAAGGCAGAGCTAGAGCTCCAGCATCTCACTGCTGACAGCATTGATGAATATGTGTATGGATGAGTCGGCAATGCAGCGGTTCTAGACATGGCAAAGTTTATGTCAGCTTTCCCCGGCCACAAATTGCACTGACCAAAGGAAGTTTGTCAGCTCCTCTGAGAACGCCAGTGTCACCGAAGTCAAAGTTGATTCAAACTGTATTTTATTTTGTACACTGCCCACCTCCCGATTTGATATACAGTCTCTCATCCCAGACAGGAGCTTGTTTTGTTGTCTCTATGGTATTATTTCTAATTATAGTGTTCCAAGGAATGCTGGAGATTCTCAGAGGTTTTGAAGGATTGATCGCATGGTAAATATTCATTAAGGTCCACAGCAGGTCAATCATCATCTCTGGTGTATTCATGCTTCCTCATTGTCAGATTTACTGTTTTCCAAATGTCTCTTCAGCTAGATTTAAGGATGCACACACATCTGAGACACATAATTTCACGCTAAACTGGCTTCCTCACCAGATCTTTAGTGGCTTTTTTCTCAGATTTGAATTTTTATGGTCTGTATATCCTTACAAAGTATCGAGATGTCTTAAATTAATTTTTCCAAATTTAAGTTGGTAAAAAAGTAAATTCCACATCCAATTCCTTTTTTAGATCTGTTCTGCTCGTATTATCCATTTCATTGTGCATTGATTCAGGGAATCAGGGACCTATTATTAATGTTGAAAACATTTGTGCTGCTTAATATTTTTGTGGAAACATTTTTTTCCGAATTCGTCGATGAATAGAAAAAAAAAAACATTTATTTTTATTTGAAATCTTGAAATCTTTGAAGTTCTTGTGTATCTTTATTGACACTACTTTTTGAAATCAACTCTTTGTTCTCATGGTGAAACTGTAGGCACTTGTAAAAATTGAAACATTGCGAATGAAGTTCTTTGCTTCTTTTTTCTCACCCCAGCACATTACCACAGACAGCTACATCCCCTGCTTGACCGATCTCTGCAAGGCCTTGTGGGAGGTGATGCTCAGTTACCACCTAACCATGCAGTGGCACGATGAGCACTACAAAGAAGAAGAGACGACTCCTGGAGCAGGTAAGCAAAACCAGTCACTCTTGGTACCTCTGTAAAGAGTCCTGGGCTCATTTTTTAGTTAAACTGTTTTGAATATAATAAAAGTGACAAACGACAGCTATTTATATCAGTCTTATCAATGGCACTATTCAAAAGATTCAAAATGACATGTTGTGCCAGTAATATACTTTTTGGCTGACAATCAAGGCAAAATTCCAGATGCTGGGCCCGAGCTGTCATGCAGAGATAGTCAGCAAAAGCAGAACAATAACAACAATGGCACCAAACAGAGCATCAAAACGACTTCCCATGATACAATCAGTAGCTCTGATCAGATATCAGGTTCAAGCAGGCTGAAATATTAACACTCCATATTCCCCATCATAACGCCTCTTGTACATATGACATTTGGGGGGGGGGGATCCTTCAACAGTATCTGGGTCTTGTTTTCCAGTGAAAACATCCTTTAAACAAGATAAAATATAGCCAAACTGTATATGAACTTAGTCTTGGACCTTAAATATAATATTACTTTGCATGATTTCATTGGGTTTTCAGTAAATTTAGTAAGATAAATAATTAAAACTTGCCAATGGAATTAGACAGAAAATAGTTATATAATATAGTTTCTCTGAGTGTTGTTTTAGTATCATTGGGATACTATTAAAGTATTTTTTAATATTTGATTTTTAATTTTAGTTAAGGTTGTAGTAATTTTGTTGTCATTTTCCTTAGGGTTTTTTTTATGTCTACATCAAGTTAAATTACATGAAATTTAGATAATTCCTTGGCAACTAGCTGAAATAAAATACGGTTTTAATAATTAATGTTAATGTTAACATTTCTTTTAGGAGCGTTTTTTTATGGTTTTAATTAATTTCTCTTAATAGTTTATGAAATTTAAAATGAAAATTATTGTTTTTATACAGGCAAAGATGTTTGAGGATGATGTTTTTAAAAATTAATTTAATTATGTAATGAGACTTTTAATGGGGAAAAGATAAGACTAAATATGAGGCATAGGATCCGTAAATGTCCCAAGCCGTATGTGGTCATGTGGTCAACTTGCTGTGCTTCATCTTTGACAGTAATAGTATTTTTTAAATGTTCTTTGGCACCCGTGGTTCATCTTTCTGCTGATGCAACTCTCTTGTGTCAAAGTCCTCTTGTGTTTCTCCAAACTGTCTGGAGGTCGACTCGTTCTGTATTTTGGCTCCTTTATATGTAACTCTAAATCAGTTTTAGTAGAAAGAGCTAGGGATTCATTAGGGTGCTCACTACCCTTGATGGTTAGATTTATAAGCATTACATTTGTGCTTTTATAGTGTAATGTCCTGCCTTGTGTATTTAGAGGAAATGGCTTTTGGTGTGTGCTGTAATCGGCACAGCAGTGGCCAAGGAGACTGAGCAGGTAATTGAAAGGGGCACTGCGCCATTAGCTAGCTGCAATGTAGTTTGTAACGTTTGCCATTCTGTCTTGCCTCCTCTTCGATTTCTGAGGTTACTGAGCAGTGCTGAAACAGATTGGTGCTTGTTCTTGGTTAGGTGTGTCATTGGAAATTCATTGAACCATTCTAAAGTACCCTAATAACCCCTACAGAGGAAAGCATACAGAATGCTACTAACTGAACAGGCATCGTTTCTCTAGGTTATGATGGGTTGTGGTTATTTTCTATAAATATTAAATGAGGGAAATAAATCATTTGTTTTAATGGAAATACTATATTTATTTTCTCTAAAACTGGTATTTTCTTGTGACTTTTAACACAGTCAGCTCTGTACTACTTTAGAATTTAGCATTTGTCTTGTACTTACATTGTATGTCTTTTTTATAATCTCTCTATTCTTCATGCTGTTCATCTTTATTTTTCACATTTGCTATGACTCAAGTAAATTATATAAGCTTAGCAATACACACATTTTTGTACTTCTCTCCACATCAGTCCTCTAAAGAACAGTTACTTCCAGCATAGTCATACATTTTCAAATATACTATGCCAAAAATGGCTTTTAGAAAAAAAACATACAGTTTTATTTAACAATATAAAATGCATTTAGCGAGCTTTATGTTTAAAACAAGTGGAAAGTCTGCAAATGGAACAATACAAAATACACTTAATATTTTGTTAATATTAATCTATAATTTAGCCTGGTCTGCACTGCAAAAAAATCATTTTCATAATCAGTATGTTTGTCTCATTTAGCCATAACAACATGTACTTTTTTTAAACAATATGAATTTACTTGAAGCAGAATTCACAGATAATATATCTTGAATTATATTGAAAAAAAGTTATATGCTGTTTTGCTTAACATAAATATATCTTGTTTTAAGGTTGGAATAATTTACTGGGAAACTGTTAAAAATTCATATTTTTGCCATGTAGAGAAACTGCATCCTAATTTTCATCATTTCTCTCCCTCTCTCTCTCTTAAAAAAAATCTTACAGGCTTCTTATACTCCTTATGCTCCTTATACTCTGCTTATGCTCCTTTGTATATTTTAGCCTGATATCAGGGCTGGTGCTACCTATAGGCAGAGCAGGCAGTTGCCTAGGGCCTCAGGCTTTGAGGCGGGGCCTCCATAACCGTAACATCCCCTATACTCTAGTCCACCAGTCAAGACTGGCAGCAAAATACTAGCCTCATTGTTCATTGGATATAGTTAAATTATCACTTACCTGCAATTAAACCAATTAATGTAGTGGGTCCCGTCTTCTGAACACATACTTCAGGTGCTGCGAAGCAAATGGCTAAATAGGCACGCAAAGACGTACAGCTGCTAATGCAGGTGTGAGTTGTCGTCATCTATTTTGGAGAGATTGCAATGTATTCTAAATATAAACTTGTTCTGTCGATCAGCGTCATTTCTGTGCAGATCTTCACCGGTTTACTACGAGTTTAAAAGAGCGCGAGTGCCGTTGACGCCCCCAGACGCGACGCTTTGAATTTGCACGTACAAAGAAAAGCTAAAAAGTTTGTATTCAAAGTCAAAAAGCAAACAAACTAGAACATTTTTTAATGTTTCAAAAATTACATTACTGCTCTAACATAACACTTATAATTTCAGTTTCAACTAACTAGAAATTAACTTCTTTCCTGCTAGGTAGTGATCATCTCTTTCACTTCCACTTGATTTTTAGTGCATATTTAAGGTAACTATGCAATACATATTATTAATAATGTGATAATATCTGTAGTCAATAGTGATTAAATGTTAGGGGAAAATCCTGCCCATACCCAGCTAGGAAAAAATGATAAAAGCACAATAAAAAATTACTGAACAAATTGCTGCAATATACTATTACTACTACTACTACTACTACTACTACTACTAATAATAATATCACGGCTATAATAACATCCACAACAAACAAAAAAGAGATTACCTTAGATAAAGTTTCATATGTACATAGAGTACCGGTCAAAAGTTTGGACACATTACTATTTTTAATGTTTTTGAAAGAAGTCTCTTATGCTCATCGAGCCTGCATTTATTTGATCAAAATACAGGGAAAAAAAACAAAACGTATTATGCAGCAAGGATGTGTTAAATTGATAAAAAAGTGATAGTAAAGACATATATTGTTATAAATATTTAAATTTTTTTTAAACAACTTTTTAATCATCAAAAAATCCTGAAAAAAGTATCACAGGTTATTAAATAAATATTAAGCAGAACAACTGTTTCCAACATTGATAATAAATCAGCATATTAGAATGATTTCTGAAGGATCATGTGACACTGAACGTAATGACTAATGAAAATTCTGCTTTGCATCACAGAAAAAGATTATATTTTAAAAATATAGTAAAATAGAAAACCATTATTTTAAATTGTAATAATGTTTCATAATATTATGATGACAGGTTTTTTCCTGTATTTTTGATCAAATAAATGCAGGCTTGATGAGCATAATAGACTTCTTTCAAAAAACATTAAAAATAGTATTGTGTCCAAACTCTTGACTCTTGACAAAATTTAAAATGAAATGTTGTATAAATAAAAGGTTAGGAATCATATTTGTTTCAAGTGCTTTTTATTGGGGGTGGGGGGCCTCCAACATGAACTTTGCCTAGGGCCTCCAAATGTCCAGAACCGGCCCTGCCTGAGATATTTGACAGATCAAGTTCAAGAATTATTTGTATTTGAGACATTATCACAGAGTGTATCATGTGCTTGCTAGTCATCAGTTATAGTGCATATTTTGCAGTAGTGTTGGGCGATATGCTCTTTTCATATTATCCTATCGTCAGCCTTTAAGATCGCCGATACACGATATTATCATGCTAATTTATTTAATTATTTACTTACATAGTTTCATAGCCAGAGAGTGAACCAACTCCAGGGTAAGGCTAAAAGCAGCCTAATGTTACTGTAATCTATTAACTACACATGATATCTTTTTAGGCAAGTATCATATGGCTGTCATGTCATAAATATTTTTTTAATATGACCGAATTTGTATTTAACATAATTTAATAAAAACACTGAAAATTACTAATTATAATTCTTACATTTCCTCAGCTACAGAAAACAAGCAAAGAACATTTACATGATCAAAGAACATCATCACTGACTTCAGTCTAGCATTTTAAAAACACTCCCGTTAAAATCAGTGAAGCTATCTACACTGTATGATGAATAAATCTCTTATACTTGCATCGCACATACATCTGCACTTTGTTGTTTATGATGAGAGAATTCACGGGAGAGCAGAATTCAGTCAGCGAGTGCATGCAATAAACAACAAAACTCCAGTGTTTCAGCGATGACTCATCTGAACGCCTCTGATTGGCCATTGCTTTCATAAACTCAACAGAATCGTGTGTGATTGATAATTACTTGCAACACTGTAAAAACTTGTAAAAAGAAATATGATGGAACAAATAAGCCCTAATATTAATTAGATGATAATACTAGCCTGATAATAATAATAATCGTCTTGATATCGTCAAAGGCATCAGCCATATAGGCAATATCGCTGACTGTCATTGAGACAGGATACTATCATCTATCG